CATTGGTGTCGGAGAATATAACCTTCCACAGCTAGTGAGCATTGTGGGTGAAAGCCATAAGAACGATCATATCATCCGGAAAGACAACATTGAYGCTCTTGGCAAGAATATGACAACAGAGATCAACAAACTGATCAAAAAGGCATGCAGATAAGAGTTTGGTATGTAGTTAAAAAAGTGGCTGTCGAAGAATTTAATTGTATATCGAGACAAGGTACTGCGAGAATTGCACCTCGCATACTGGAGTGTCATATTCAAATACAGCGTATATCGTCACATCAAAAATATTAAAGTCTTATATTTCCGTTTTTAGGAATTTGAAAGATCAACAATATTTACAGTAATAACAATAATGGTAAACCATTATAAACTACAGTAAAAATAAATAACGTGAAATAATCTTTAACTTGCTTATAAAGGTCTTGATTGGGTAGGGAARTGTTTGTAACATTTTCAAAGCTAAAATATGTAAACGCATTGTGCAAACATAGTATACGTAAATTAAACCTTATTTTTTCCGTCATTAAAATGCTTAAATTAATAGTGTTTYTACATTGTTTAACGCTTTAACTATTAAACGTGTATACAAGTTGAAGCTAATTCAACCATCTTGTCTTCCACTGTTTTTAAACTGTGATTGAATTATGGGGTTTCGATGGAGTTCACAACAAGAATGAATACATAAACTGTTTGAGAATGTTACATGGTTCCTTTTTATACTAAGACTGTGTGTACAACAGTAAAATGGTGGGAACTAGCGGTAAACTAGTGTGAGCTGCGTCGGTGTTTCTAAAGAAACAGTTATGTAAAAAGATAAATTTAACACCGTAAAAAAGTATGTGGAAAAACTTACTAAAAGTTAGTTTTTCCACATACTTTTTTACGGTGTTAAATTTATCTTTTTACATAACTGTGTGTACAACATCTAATTATAAAGATATCGGAAGCTTTGAGGCAGAAATCAAAATTTCAAATATAGATTAAAATTTATTACTAATAATGATGATTATATTGTGTTATATTACATTTTATTAATTWTTAATATCAATGTCATATAAACGGCTAGCTTCGATAATTTTCAATATAGTAATTTTCAATTATTGTGCAAATTTCTTTATATTATACAGACAGTGACGTTTTGTTTATAACGTTTTTTAAACAACGCTATTCAGGGCCGTCATGCCACTCGTGAGGCATGAATATAAAATATTATTATAAAAAATAATGATATTTGTTYTAAAGTACTTTCAATTGCGGATGAACCATTATTAGAAATTCTCTTTGTTATAGTAAAATTTAACTCCTCTTGCTTCGTCATTCGATTGGTCACACATTTTGTGAAGTTCYTGGGAAAGCCCTGATGGTCCGCAAAAGAAAACACCAACTTTGGTACTGAAAGAAATAAAGGAAGTGACCTCAGAATGTGCTTGACAATGCGCATTTCGTGCAACAAAGCATTASCATTYCCATTATCATCGTCATCACTATCATCAACGCTATCATCATTATCAAGGATAAATCATGTACCAATGATTCCCATTATCAATGTTGTTTTTCTTTCTTACTTGCTATGGGCTTCAGCAACATCTTTGAAGATTTCTTTCCAGTCTGGTCGACCATATTCAGTCCTTGAAAATAAGCCTGTTATTGGATCGTTTTCGGCAGCGGACTGCTCCTCGTAAACGATGCGCCTGGCCTAACACAGGATGAGAATACTCAGACACAACATAACAGAATAAGTGGGAATTAAGGTAGTGGGAACCACAAGGGAAAAGTGAAAAATAGGAAGTGGGAAAAGAAACTCACCATTTTTGTGTCCCATTTTGTTAAAAATATGTTGATTTGGATGAAATCTAAATCATTRGAGTCTGTAAGCTAGTAAGGATATAGCAATTACGTTAACCATTAGATGCAATTTTAAAAAATAACTCTACTTGCATTGTCATAGTAAGTAAATCTGGACCCATACCTGTGTCTCCAGTTGCTTTAGAAGATCAGAAAACCACTCAAATGCAAAACTTTCTCTGCAAATCCAGTAAAAGTACACTTTCTGAATACAAAAMGAGTCGGGTGAATGGTAGTAACGGTGCCTGCAAGACCAACCAAAAAAAAAAGATGTTATAATGTCTTGTTCAGTTTGTACTTTGATACACTTCATAATTATATAGGTTTATGAATGCTGTTTTTTAAAATGCTTTAGTAGTCACTTATACTCCATTACTTTGCATATTTGTTTCCCACTTTCACCCTTTTTTAAACTTTCCACAATTAAATTATACTTTTTCAATCATTCTCTGAAGCAAGCAAGTTAAAACAGACTTTGACATCAGTCAGACCAGCTTTGTTTGTCAGCATTAGTTACTCTCACTTACCAAATTGATTTGAGTACCGATGCAAATGGTGTTACCCCAATACCTGCTCCAATACACATTACGACATTGTAACTAAAGATGTCCTAATTGTAACAAAAGTATATATATCATAACAGATAACAGGAGTATCATACTCAGCATCAACCAACAAGATTTTTATCATACCCAGCCTCAACCAGTAACTCTTACTATCATACACAGCCTTGATCAATAATTCTTCATACCATACACAGCCTCAACCAATAATTCTTCATATCATACCCAACCTCAACCAGTAACTCTTAATATCACACACAGCCTTGACCAATAATTCTTCATATCATACTCAGCCTTGCATCTTGACCAATAATTCTACATATCATATTCAGCCTCAATCAATAATTCTTCATATCATACTCAGCCTCATCCAATTATTCTTCATATCATACTCAGCCTCAACCAATAAATGTTACTTTGTTCAGTGACAACACAACGAAATTTACTGTTGAAACTGTGTTGACTGTTATCACAAATATTTAACTTAATTGCTTACAGTACTAGCTGTCCCGTAAGGTCCGTCAACTGATATCCTGAAAATTAATTAATGATATTCTATTATTAATAATCAAATTATAAAACAAAAGAGACTGYTCTTCAGTCAGAACATACCTTGGTAACTCATCAATGTTTCGGAGTTGACTGCTGTCTGCACCAAGTTCTTTACTAAGCAACGCTATTTATAATCAGAAGATACTTTCAAAGTGGAGTATAACCACCTAATATTTAGAATGTCAATATAAAATATACTTAATATTACAAATTTTACATCCCTACCTGTCCAGTCGCCCACCACTCTGATATGAACACTGAAATAATCATCCTCCGGAGCCTGGGAATTGTTAGATATAAAATGAAATAATAAGAAATATAAAATAAAAAGAATATAAAAAAAGATACTTTATAAGAGAGCAAAGAGTCCTTAAAACTTACTGAAGTTAGGGTGAATGGATGCCATTCCAATTGTGATATCTTAGGACATTGGATAAAGATGTACTGCAGAGAAAAATATTGATAAAGATTGACTGATTGATTGAATGTCATTATGAAAGGTCCTTGAGGGTATAAAAATGATCATGATGCACTTGGTGACGGACAAGACAGTGTCCACCAAATTTAAAACAACCTAAATAAGTACCCACTGATAGCTACACGCCTTGTAAAACAGTGGCTTTTGGTACWGGTACCAGCTATGTAAGAATTTTGTTTGCTTTATTGGAAAATATACTACAATTCCAACCTGTCCTGGTTCYCTTTTGAAGCCTTTTTTCTTCATTTGTATTGAAACGACATTTGAAGGGTGTTTGACAACCTGTAGAGTTAAGTCATTGATAAATTAATTTGTAAAACTGTTCCAATAGCCATCTTTGGGTTCCCTACTTTTGGTATTGAAATCACGTACCTTCATAATCTGGACTTTTTGTAATGATCTGTATAATCGCAGACATCTTTCCAGGAAGTATAGAATCAGGGGGAATATCACAAACTTCCAAGTCTGATATCAYGAACAGAATATTCATTAGAGTAAGTAAATAAATAGCAAGTAAATGGATGGATGAATGGTTAAATGAATATCTCACACCAACTCTAAAGTAGAGCATCACTTAAATTCTAACCTGAGGGCCAGWAGACCCAAACGTTGGAAGTGTTTCACATTTTTTAGAGCTTTTCTCTCCCCATTCCTTAAGGTGATCAACGCAGTATTCAGGGTCATGTTTGTCGATGTTTGTCTGGAATCTTAGCAATTCCCCAGCTCCATGAGCCATGAGACCAATGAAAAAAACAGCAAAGAGATGATGAGAGTACCAAAACACTTCAAAGTACGATCTCCTGTCAATCAATGAATTGGAAATTCTAGTTTAATCATGTTTGAGCACTGGTAGGTGCAATTAAGTTTAGCTTTTGAATAAATTATCAAAATCAATAGAATAAGAGAGAGAGAGAGAGTACATGTGATCGTCCAGTGGTTAAAGCTTTAGACATTGTGTCTTCAGGCATATMGAGTTCAATTCCCGGAAGACCAAGTGATCATGTCAGTGGCTGATCCAGGGGGGTTCCATYGGTTCCTAGGAAACCCCCTCGAGCATAAAAAAAAGATAAATGAAATGTGGGTGCCTTTACATTTGCTACAGTTCGAAAGGCACAGTCAAAAAGTTTGTTTTAGGAAAATGCGAAAACAAAGTGGAAACCCTGGATCTGCCACTGCATGTTGTTTACTGACAAGAGTTAGGGCATTCCAGTTGATGTAGTTAYAATTTCTAGGGTCTTGAACATGCCCTCCAGTCATTAGAGGAAATAACAGAGAAATTCAACATACAAGAATAATACTCACCGGATAAGCTCAGTTGATGAAGAAACCATYACGATTAGACATAACGTTATAATGATGCCAGTTATTCCAGGAACTTAGATCAAAATATATCAATCAGTCAGAGTAGAAACATTTCTTTTTTCAGTGAGTAAACATGGTAACCTTTTTACACAACTCAATATACATGTTGTAGTTTCTATAGGATACTACACTAACCTGATTTAATTACTTCAGTAACTGGATCCTGAAGCAAGAAAAAAGATGCTTGAATGAAAACGTCAAAACAGCTTGTTGTGTATGGCAGGAGGGTAGATAATTATTATATAAAATCACCCATTTACAAAGATATTGTATTGGATTTCATTATGTGGAGTTCAAGATAAAACATGATATTATTGTATTGTTTGCTACTAGTACAGGGGCGGATCCAGGATTTTCGTTAGGGAGGGGTGCAGGGCTCTCACAAAAATCATTACCATAAAGATACAAAATGAGGAAAGTATTGAAGGATACAGAGGGGGTGCGCACCCCCTGCCCTGCACCCACCAGCTGGATCCGCCCCTGTAATACCAACTTACTGAATTCTTCTCTCTGACAGGATTTACCCAGGGGTCTGCTTGGCTTACTTTGCTATCAATTGCACCAGACTTTGACCAACTCATGACAAGGTTTTCAAAATTAAAGCAGTGTGCACCAACATGGATAACTATGAAAGTCAATCAATCAAACACATGAGCTGTCAGTCAAGTCATTGATCAATCAGTCAGTGCATCAATCAATCAATCAAGTCAATGATCAGTCAATCAACCAGGTCAACAATCAATCAAGTCATGAATCAATCAATCAATTGAGTCACCTATCAATCAATCAAACACATGAGCTGTCAGTCAAGTTATCGATCAATCAATTAGTGCATCAATCAATTAATCAATCAATCCATCAGGTCAACAATCGTTGGATCAATTAACAAACCAAACAATTTATCAATCAATGAATATTCAATCTATCAACAAACAAGCAAATGAATTTACAAATCAATCAAATATCCACAACAATAACTTATAAATTAATCATCAATCTAATGATGACAATTTACCTGTCATGAGGCAGATAGTGTAAGCAATGTACTTATGGAATGTTATTGATTTGTCCAACACACGAATGACAGGCCTCATGACACCATACTAAGACAATGTACAAAACATAATATTAATATAATATAGGTGCATCATTCGCAATACCAAATTTTGTTTGACTGCCTATATTTAGCTTCCTTCGCAGGCCACTCTAACGGAAACGGAGATTTTTCTCTTTTTGGTCTTCCTGTGTTCATAATCTTGACCGAGAAGAACTGGTGTTGAGAGATTAGGAACAACTGTTTTTCCTTCCTTCCTAGCCCCCTCCCCCTCCGGCAGCTTTTTTTTTGCCTTAACACAGGAATCCCACAGAGTAGAGTTGACTGTGAAGGAAGCTAATATTTACTAATCAGCATAAAATCTTACATTGCAATGACTTCTGATAATAGAGAGAATATTACGACACATCAATAGTAACACCAGGGCACAGTTGAAYTTGAGTACCATGGCTGCTCCCCTCGCAACTGGAAGACCTTTCTGAAAGGAACCACTATTATCAATTAATACATAATATTACAGCTGAATATGCAGAAATTATGACTTTTTGACTCATATTTCAAGTATATATAAAATATATCAGAAATTATGGGGCATCATCGGCAATATTTTTTTCAGAAAGTACTAGTGTTAGGCAACTTCCAAAAGATATTGGTGATGATATCCCATAATTTCTGATATATTTCAGATGTATTTCAGAGTCAAAATGATCATAATTTCTGCATATTGCTGTATATACTTTTAAATAAGCAATAAATGAATGCAGATGGATTAGGATCAATCAATCAATCAATCAGGCCAACAATCAATCAATGGATTCTGGACAGACTCATAGGTGAACGGATTGAGAAACGAAGAAATGGATGAACAAATGCATGAATGGATGGATGGGATTTTGGATAGATGGATGAACAAAAATGAATGAATAAATGGAAGACGTTAGAAGTGCATTCTACAGTGCTACAAGAAATGACTTTACTTGCGGTTCAATTTGAGATTGAAGCTTACTATGCCAGCATGCCAGCTGTCAATGTTACACAGGCGAAACAAATTGTTGAATGTTCGTCAGATTTTCTGATCAGATACAATCTGATAATTTGAAATGCTTGGTATAACTAACCTTCACAACAACGCGCAGGTATGTGTACTTCGGAGCAGATGCATATTCGTTGTAAGTCAGAATAAAAAGAAGAATGTTGATCACCAGCCATGTTAACTAAAAATACAAATATATCAAAACCATCTAAATCATAAATTTATTACTTTTTTATAATCTAAGCATACAAGAGATTAAGCTATGTGAATGAATTAATAGACCATTTTGATCAGTACTTACAACTACAACGTAGCGACCCAACTCGTTGACTTTGAAGCCGAATCGAGGCATACTTTGCCGCCAAAAATAGCGCTCGTGTTTTGACAGGGCAGTTTTTCAACTTCCACYATACTTCACGTACTGCAATGCAACTTATATGGCATTTTTGTTGCGATCTGCAGGCTTGAAAAGTTTAATTACTCTTCAAATTCAAAAGAAGTCCGGCTGGCAAGATCGAGTTTACATCCTGGGGATTAGAACTGACGAGGGGTGGAGATGGGAAGTTTTAGCACACTCGTTCGAGGTACACTCGAAGGTACAAGTAACGCCTGACAGTAATTTGCAAGAACACGAGTTTTTTGACTTCGAGAGAATTTCTCTCAAAAATCTTCGAAATTAAGACCAATTACAAGTGATTGTTTTGGTCGAATTTATTCTGAAGCATAAAAATAGGGTTTTTTGAACGAAATGCCATAAAATGATGTCAAATTGTTTGTTTCAAAGCCGAAAATGTTCACAACATTTGAGCTTTCGTTATGTTTCTTCACATTTGAGAGCTATGGCGTCTTCAAGAAGAGCAAAGAAACGTGAGGATAACAAAGGAGTCGAGAGAATAACGATACCTAAYACTAAAGATCTTGATAGCGAGTTTATGAAGTTATGGAAGTCCACTGAAAACCACCAAAAGAGGCTACTCAACAAAACGATATTTGGAAAAAGACAAAGAATTCAAAAACCTCAAAAGGTTAATATCAGAACTTTACCTCAACAAAGCAATCTKACCAAGCAAGAAGCATTAGAACTCATTGAAGACAGTGATAAAGTAGGTTTTCGTGTCCCTAAATTTAGTGACGTGGTCCAGAGTTTGGGGTTATCAAAGCGAAGAGATGTGGACATCAAATCTACTCAGGACTCTGAAACTAATGCAGAAGAAATGCTTGATGAAAATCCACAAGGAAATATGACTTTTGAGGACTTTGGTATKCATCCTAAGTTAATTGCTAAGCTTGAAAAAGATGGTATATTTCAGCCCGTRCTTATACAACAGAGGGCACTGCCATTAATCTTTAGCAATCAAAGTGTGCTGATTAAGTCAGAAACAGGCTCAGGAAAGACGTTAGTGTTTTTGTTACCAACTGTCCAAGATCCTGGTCGAAGTTTTGGRACTGTGATTATTGTTCCWACAAGAGAYTTYMCCAGTCAAATGCTGTACGAAGCACATCGGCTTCTTGGTGACAAGTCTATTGTGGCATCTTTTGTAAGTATTGCTGGAATTTATACCACCTTGCCATTTGAAACTCCTACAAACCAAAAGGGAGAGAAAAAATGTCCAATCTAGTGTTCTCATAGCCTCCGTAGCAGACGTTCCAAGCGGTTCGATCTTGGAACGTCTGCTATGGAGGCTAGTGTTCTCATAGGGGAGGGGATTGAGAGGTTGCAATAGATCCATTACAGGTCTGGGTAAAACAATTGAGGGCTGAGTAAAAGAGTTTTCTTGAATATAGCTCTAGTTCTGATCAGATGGTCTCTCTCAAGACCAGAAACTCTGGAAATGATTCATAATGATAACTGATAATAATGATCANGAACTGGCAGAAGAGAAAGAGTCCCTCTTCTATCGAACAAAGAGGATAGTTGTTGATGAAGTTGACAAGATATTTTTACCCTTACACAAGAGAGCTTCAAGAAAAAAGATGATCTCAAGAGCTATTCATCCAAGACCGGGACGTGCATTAGTTGAAAAAATAGCAAAAATATCAAAGGTTTGAACTCAAAATGGAATTAAATTTTAAATAATTTACCAGATGTGATGACACTCTGTTATTGTGTTAATTCTAGGTTCCAAAAAAACAGTTTATCGGTGCTTCAGCAACAGTTGATGCAAGCTTGTTAGAGGACTTGTCTGATGTAGGCTGGGGAGATCATGTGACTGTTGTCCAGTCCCCTAGCTACGAGGGAAAACTTCAAAGTATCCCATCATGCATTGACCATTGTTATACAGTTTTCAATGAAAACCMGGACTTGTCAAAGGCTAATGTATTAGCAAGGTAAACAAGTGAAAATTCTGTAAGCTAAAATATCTAGAATATTAATTAAGCTATAAAATACAATCTTAGCTCTTCATTGCTTGGGAGTCCTGTGGTGTGATCCAAATTTACAATTTACAATGGTGCCGGAGAACAAGAGGAGGAGAAAGACAAATGTTTCTTGTTCCCCTCTCATTTGTGTTTTGTCTCTCAGAAATCATTCTGATCTGAAATGAAAAATTGAACCACAGGAATCCCAAGTAACAAGAACTTAGACTCTACAAAATGTATAAAATAGATCATATTTTATATAATTTCTTATTTTTAGAGCATTTTCCAACTCTGGTCATAAGTCAGCTCTGGTTTTCATTCACCGTAGTTTATCTGTCGATGACTTTGTTTGGGAATTGAGATATCTTGGCTTACAAGCRGTTGCCCTCTACAGAAAGATTGCAACCCAAAGCCCAACCAGCCATGAAGCATTTCTRTCRGACTTRCACTCAGGAAAATTCCAGCTTGTTGTTGGYACTGAAGAAACTGTGAGAGGACTTGACTTCAAYGYCTTAGAGCATGTGTATTTGACAGAGGTTCCTAAAAARGTTGGCGAATATTTGCATCTTGCTGGGCGTGTAGGTAGACAGGGTAAAGCTGGAACTGTTACAACAATAGTCTCTGCTGATGTGAGTGGGGAAGAAAGGAGGATGTTACTTCAGTATCGTAGACTGGGGGTTTCATTTCAACAAGTTTGATTCCTCCTTCAAGTTCAAGAAAATTTTTCTAATTGGGATCCCTGTGTT